AAAAAATCTAATTGTCTTTGAGAATGTGCATTATATGACACTGTATTCTTCGTTATGCTGTATGGTTGAGAACTGGATTTGTGCTACCGTGAGAAGCATAGATGCAGTTTAAATATGGATTTATTTTATTATGCTAAGAATTTCTTGGATCAGAAGGGTGGTCAACAAGAACTACTAGAACAGGTGAAAAAATACTGAAAGATCAAACACACAAAATACAGAAAGCTAGACTAAAATTGAGAAACCTTGAGTCATGAGAAATAGAAAGTACTGATTGTTACAGCTGATTATTCAAGATAAAATTTAGTCGGGGAAACTCAGGAAGAACATCTCAGCTGAAAAAAACGTGGATCAACAACAGTATTTAGAACTGTAAATCCTGATTCGGTTTGATATCCAGTCTTTCATGGGAGAAAAACAAGATAAATGAAAAATATTTAATCTCAATTTTGATCAAAACAGGTATCCAAAACAGTGTACAAAGAGAAACAAACATTAAACTAGAGATGGTAAGTAAGGTAGTGTTCAGCACTTCCCTGGCCCACCACTTCTGGGTGCTGCCTTTGAGTAGGTGGGGCTGGGAAGCACCAAACACCTGTTCATCCAAAGGGCAAACCAACACAAACTGCCAAATTGGCAGTTCATTCCATCTCTAAAATAAAATGAAAGCAATGAACCAAATTAACAGCAGAGTAGTCTTTAAAACCACAGATCAGAATCACCCATATTAAGAACACTGGCAGAAATCCAGTACTAAGTTGCAAACAGAGTAAACCCTTTTAATCAGTGGAACTTGGAGGTGTTGACTCACCAAATCTTCACTGATTCAGTTGGCCTAGTCTAGTTACAACCTATTACTGCATTTCAACCAGTAACAGCCAGAGGGAACAAAAAAGTATTTACCCCATCAAACTGAGTAAAGCAGGGGGCAGGAGCCTCAGTATTGTACTTTGAGAGTGTTAGTTGTACAGCAGGGATGCTACCACAGAGGAAGCTCTGCCCAACATTTTCAGCAACCTAGTTCACCAGCTTCTTACAGGTATAATAAAGTGCGAACAAATATGGTTCTCTTGCCTGACTTGGACAAAGGCGGTGTGGGAAAAGGATGTGCATTTGAGACCACTTCTGTATCTTTTCTTAGAAACATGCCCTGATGGAGCAGGTGGCCCACCAGACTATTGTGATGCAGTTCATTCTGGAGTTGGCTAAGAGCCTGAAGGTTGATCCTCGAGCTTGTTTCCGGCAGTTCTTTGCCAAGATCAAGGTAAACCTACTGCTTAGATAATGGGAGGAAAGCCTTTCCTTGAATGTACCTTAGTGGTTTTTTGTTTTTCACTCTGCAGAGTGAAACTAGGCTTCTCTTTCGTCACAGGAACAGTGGTCTCCCCACTGATGATTTCCTGTGGTGGAAGTCCACAATGCTAGTTCTTCATGTTGTCCAGATTTGCTAAACAATGCAGCATAGTCTGTGGCTGCAACTAAGAAATCTAGTTCCTGTTTGTTCAGTTCTTTTTACTCCCACTATGACATTTGTTCTGTCCCATTTCTGTGTTAATGTGTGGAGTTTGTAAAGTTTGCAATCGAAATAATGGATTTCTTCATCTAGGACACTTTGCATGCAGTTTTCCAAAATGCACGCATGAGGTTAAATGTAAACATTTGTCTCTATATGATAAAAATGATCTCCTGCACACATCCTCTAATGTGTGTGCGTTGGGCATGCCTTTTTTACACATGCCCTTTCTGTGCCTTTTTTTAAAAAAAACTGAACATGGCATTCAAGAAAGTCCTTCTGATTTCAGGTCACAACCATGTTCCACTGGATGCTTTGGTTTGGGGAGTGTGAAAAGGGCTTTCCATATGAAAATGGAAATAAAATAGAATCTCCCTTTTCTCTAGCAGTGTCCTAAGTCTCAACAGTTAACAGTCCTGGTTGTGGATCTCCATGGCTTTAAATGCATGGGCAACTTCCATAGATTGGGGCCATTTTTCCAGTGGACCTACTGTTCAAGGCTGCACACTCAAAAGATGTGCATGGCTTATGTAGAAGGGAAGGAACATTGTGGATTTTTTGTTATATTTAATAAAAAATACTACCCATATACACACATGCATATATGCTTTAAAATTTAATTTAAATCAAGATTACATTTAACTTATAAAATACATTTATTAATAGTTGAATGATTTACAATCAGTTGAGGGAACCATAGATTTTAATTTTGCTTAACATCAACTGCCTGCTTGAGTAACAACAGTTTTTAAAAGGCTGTCAAATAACTAAGACAGGTTTTAAGTAATTAAAAGATGGCTGTTAAGGCTTATAATTAAAAGTATTATGTGACTTAATTGTTTTGCCCCCATATAGTTCTTTCCCTTCTCCCACGTCTCTCTTGTCTGACGCATTCGTAAATTCCATCTAGACTGCTGATCAACAGTACATGGAGGGTTTCAACGATGAGCTGGAATCTTTCAAAGAGCGGGTACGAGGCCGTGCCAAGGATCGCATTGAGAGAGCCATGAAAGAATATGAAGAAGAAGAGCGACAGAAGAGGCTGGGTCCTGGTGGCCTTGATCCTGTGGAAGTGTATGAATCACTCCCATCTGTGAGTAACTTTGCTGAGCTGCTGATAACATCTAATAATAGCAACAACACAAAACTTGTTGCATACAACTGATCTGTATGTACATTGTGGGTGTGGTTGACTTCTATACCTCTGAAAGTAGGGGAGGCATATAGGTGAGAGGGCCTTCTTTGTGGCGACTCTCATGTTACGGAATGTTCTCCTTCAAGAGGTTAGGTTGGCCCTCTCCTTTATCATCACCATCATAATTAAACTGCAGAGCTAGAAGAGACTGGCAGTTGAAGACCCACCTCTTCAGGCAGGCTTTTAACAATCTTAACTGAGTCCCTGAATGCTGTTTTTTAAGATCAGTTTAACATGTTTTTAATCATTCAATGTATTTTAATTAGTATTATAGTTTAAATGTCTTTAATAGAGAATTTGTTGTGTTTTTAAATCAACATTTTTAACACTGTAAGCCACCCTGAGTCCTCTTGTTGGGAGAAGGCACTATGTGTGTGTGTGTGTGTGTGTGTGTCTTTGTGTGCGCTGGCTCTTCAACCCTGCCCTCTTGCAAGGTCCCAGTGCTAATGGATTTATGTAAGTAAACCATTAGCATTCAGCTTGCTGACTTCCTTGCCATTCTACCGCAAAACCCTTTACTCTAAGCAGTCCCATCCAGTGCACTTGATTCTTGTTGGCCATTCTTTGGTGAAGCTTTAAAGTTTCCAGGCACTGGGATCTGTATATACTTGCAAAACATAGGGTTGCTTGTTGGGCTTTGGACAGCCTCTGCTGCTTACGCAGTGCAAGGCGGTGGTGGTACAAGGTTGTTTTTTTTCCCTTTCTTCCTTTCCTTGCTCTTTTCATAGCATTGTGCAAATCCCTACACAATTCACGTTCTCTGAATAACTCTCCTTGACTTCACTTTCATACCATCCTGAATTTGTAGCTGAGTGAAGAAGTAGCATTTGGAGTGAGTAGCTCATTTAAGATTTCCCCACCTGCTAACCATATATGATTTGTTTTTCACAGGAACTCCAGAAATGTTTTGATGTGAAGGATGTTCAGATGCTTCAAGATACTATCAGCAAAATGGATCCTACAGTGAGTATCCTTAGAGCTGGATTACAACTGAATCATGGAACTGTGTTTCCAGATATAGTGGAACCTCTACTTAAGAACGTCCCTACTTAAGAACGATCCAATTTAAGAACAGCTCCATTCACTAAATTTTGCTTCTACTTGAGAACAGAGCTCCAAGATAAGAACAGGAAAAAAAATTCCTGCCCCCTTTTTTAACCTTAGGTCATCTTAGGTTTTAAAAAAAATCTCCTCCTAGTGGTAGAATACGGATTAACTGTCTTTGCATTAGTTCCTATGGGAACTAATGCCTCAATGTACGAATGCACCTCTACATAAGAACAAAAAACAGCCGGAACGGATTAATCTGTTTTCAGTGCATTCCTATGGGAAATTTTGCTTCAACTTAAGAACGTTTCAACTTAAGAACACCATTCCAATACGGATTAAGTTCTTGTAGCTTCAAGGTATGTTATTTCCTGTTCTGTTTTTGTGGATGTACATGCATACACATTCTTGTCTGCTCTCTCCACCCATTGGTCTCCTCAGTCTAGTGGTTGGAGACCTTGGACACATTGAGCAAAATCCCACTGGTGTGAAGCTACACTGGGCAAATCGAATCCAGTATTAGTGATATTCAATTTAAATTAATTGAAAACTTCTTAAACCCCCCTTTCCAGGTTCCAATGGGCTCCCTTTTGCCCTTTTGGGGGCCTCAGGACGGAGGTGGGGCGGATGGGGAATCTTTAATAGTAAAAAACCACAACCAAATTCCTGCGGTGCAGATCAGAGCCACTGATAGCGATCCAGTGCTGATATTTAACTATTAACCCCTCCCCCCTCCCAAGGCTCCCAAAGACTTTTTAGGCAGAAAAGGCGCTCTACGGAGCCTTGGAATCTGAAAGAGTGGGGTGGATTAATTCATATAAACAAAGTACTTCTGACAGTGGATGTGATTTTCACGGCAAATTTTTATTCAAAACGATTTTGCTCATTGTCATAGCCAATAGTTATGTAGCTCCTTTTTTGCCTGGGAATTAAGAATATGCGAGTTTCTTTTCTTGCCAGCTGTCCTGTCCCCACCTACCCACAGTGAGAAATTCCACTATGGACCCAAACCAGTACCCTGTAGTATTCTGGCCTGCAGAGATTCTATAGCCATGAATCATCCTCTCTGTGGGCATTCAAAAAAGATTGTTGACTTCGGAGCAGTTCAGTCTCAGTTTATATTAGCTTGTGCCTGCTTGGCATCATCAGAACATAAGCTGTATTGAATTGCTTCCTTGGAATGGCTACTCAGTAAGGCTGAAATACACCTCCAGTTGTTTGTCTCTCCAGCATTATATTTTGTGAGTAGAAGACACATTTCCATACAGTACTTCATGATGCAGCTTGGTGTGCTTTAAGAATTCTTTGGAGCTTTTTGTTTTTTATATAATTTAATTGTCATGGTTTAAAACTACAAAGTAGGAAATTAAAAGTATCATCTAAAATGCAGTAAGGTCACAGCCCTGAAGTAGTCTGTGTCTTGTGTTCCTTTCTAGGAAGCAAAATACCACATGCAGCGATGTATTGATTCTGGCCTTTGGGTGCCAAATGCACGATCAGGTGATGGAACAGAGAAAGGTGACAAACCAGAAGGTGTATATGAGGAGCTTAAGAAACAGAATGGCAAGGAGGGCAAAGGAACCGCCTGAAACCTGGGCCAGAGGTTTTCAAAGCAGATTACACCTCTCAACCTTTGTCTTTTCTTTCTTTCTTACCAAACTGTTCAGCAATGATGTGCTTTATACACTTAGACACTTCATGAATTGTATGAGATGCTTCTTACTGGCTCTCTTGCTCACCATAATAGCTCCCTGCCCCAAATTTTGCAACCTTGCCACCTGTTGGAAGCCAGTTTTTTTAAGGGAAGTTATGAAACACAGTGCAGCGTTTACAGGGGCTTGGCATAGCGATTCTGCCTTCTGTCTTGCTGTGGTAATGCCAGTCAGTGTCCTAGATATAATTGTGCTGTTATATCTATCTGTTTGTTGGCAACCAGTTAAGCCTACTTGAGCAAATAAAAAGATTAAAATAGCTGTAGCTGGAACAGTGTCCATCCTTGCAAGCTGTCTCTTCGTTGGGCAAGCAATCTATTAATTATGTTGTCTAGTTCTTGTTCTTCTGTGGAAAGATGTGTAGTCCCTTGGGAAAGAACATGTGGGTTCTGCTACAGTTTTTGGCAACAGATAAAAATATTTTGATTTGGAAGGATGATAAAAGACCACTTCTTGCAACCTTATGAGGTGGAGTTCTGCCTGCTGCCTCCTCTAACCTGATGTTAATATTTATAGAAGAGGACCAATGAATTCCTGCTCAGCATAACTGATGGAGATGGCCAAGGAGAAGGGCCAAGATTCATGTGGTGCATGAGCACTTCCTTTGAATGCAGAAGGCCCCTTTGTTTAGTCCCTGTCACTGCTGAGTAGAGTTGGAAAAACAAACTACTGCTGGTCAGTAGAGAATAGAACCTTGGACCTACATCAGGGGTGCAAATGTGATGGTCACCTCTAAAATGCTGTTTTGTCCAGTTGTCTCACACTGGCTGTTGTGAGATAGATGGGAGCTGGAGACGGCATTGGCTATAGTTTCTGTTAACTGAGATTGCCTCTAAATCAGGCTGAGGTCCTGCAGATGTTGCTGAACTACAGTGTATATTAGTAGTCTATGAAGCCAGTGACCAAGAATAGATTAGATTAGGCATCCTTCAGTCTCAAGAGACTATGGTAACATGCTCTGAATAGAGGACTTGGAACAGCATCTAGTATGGCTGAGAAGGCCAATTCGAGAGTGACAATCCCTTCCATGCTGAAGACAAATACAATCTGTCCCCTGTCCAGCTCCCTGATATTGCTGGTTTCGGGACTGCCTCTTTGCCTCGGCCTGCTGAACAAGTGTCTCTTCAAATTGGGAGAGGCCGTGATGCACCGCCTGCCTCCAGGCTGACACTCAGGTGTCAAGGTTTCCCATCTGTTGAGGTCCATTCCTAAGGCCTTCGAATCCCGCTTGCAGAAATCCTTGTATCATAGTTGTGGTCTCCCTCTGGGGCGTTTTCCCTGCCCTAATTTTCCATACAGGAAATCTTTTGGAATCTGACCATTAGTTATTCTGATGACATGCCCGAGCCAACATAGACATCGCTGCTTCAGTAATGTAGACATGCTAAAAATTCCAGCTCATTCTAGGACTACTCTATTTGGAACTTTGTCCTACCAGGTGATATCAAAAATGCGTCTGAGACAACGCATATGGAACGTGTTCAGCTTTATCTCCTGCCATGCACAAAGGGTCCAGGACTCACTGCAGTACAGGACTGTACTTGGGACACAGGTTCTATAGACCTGGATCTTGGCATATATCATCAGCTTCTTAAGTCCTACTCTCTTTGTGAGTCTAGAGACCATGGTAGCTGCTTTGCCAATGCATTTATCCAGCTCATCATCTAAAGAGAGAGTGTCAGAGATGGTTGAGCCAAGGTTCACAAAATCATGAACAACCTCCAATTCTTGTGTAGATACGGTAATAGAGGGAAGTGAGTCCATGCCTGGCCCATGACTTGTGTTGTCTTCAGGCTGTTTGTTAATCCAAGGTCTTGGCAGGCCTTGCTAAAACAATTCATGAGTTGTTGGAGGTCTTCAGCAGAATGGGCAACAACAGCTGCATCATCAGTGAAGAGGAAGTCCCGCATGCATTTCAGATGGACTTTGGTCTTCACTCTCAATCTAGAAAGATTAAAGAGCTTTCCGTCTGATTTAGTCCGGCGATAAACACCTTCTGCTGCAGTTCCAAAGGCATGCTTCAGCATGACAGCAAAAAAGATCCCAAAAAGGGTTGGCGTGAGGACACAGCCCTGTTTCACTCTGCTTCAGATGTCAAAGGGATCTGATGG